ATGTCAAATGTTTGTCCACAATATCAGTATCATGTGTTCATTGCAATCATTTCAATCAAATCTGGCCTTAAGACAATTCCAAGTAATGCTTTACTGAATGTATCAGTTTTTGGTACTAAAATTCGTTCATTTGAAGTAAGATCTGTATTCCGTAAGGCAGATCTGGGGAATATATTAGACTGCATGAACTTGGTTTAAATTCAGAAACTGAACTTGGAATTGGAGAAAGATATTGGACCAGCACTAAAACACGCCTTTTTGATACTGAATCATTAAGGCTAACTAAACGAGCAACACTTATCCGCAGACGTGATTTAAGGTTGAAACAAACTTTCAGGGGAACGTTTCCTCCTGACTGCTATAAACAGTATGTACCTGCCTCTTTGAAAGTTCTAGTCAGTATGAAATTTGAAGGACCAGGTATAAAAAAACAATCCCATTCCAAACTATCTCAGAACATCTTGTCTTCAAAGCGTGAAATGTCGGTGCACCAGCACAAAGACACCACTGAGACCGAGAAATGCAAGTCCCAGTTTACTTGGTATCAAACAAGAAAACGTGATCTTGTTGACACATTTTACAGTATGGGTTTGTGCATTTAGCATGACTGTCTGGTGTATTTCAATAGATATGGCACAGTTTGTGGTGTTTATGAAGACGAAGGTGTGGTATACCCACCAACATTCGCAAAAGATAACATCTATCATAATCCCTGCTCTAAAACAGCAACATATCCACTTCATGGTACCAGCATTTCACTATTGCAGCTGCGTCTAACGGCTGAAGCGGAAGGAACATCACATGTTGTTCTTTTGGCTGAAGAATGCACACAAACAAGGAAAACCATTTCCAAACAGCCCACAGTATATACTAATGTACCCCCATCCTGTTTTAGCAGGATGGGTAATTATGTGCCTCATTTAAAAGTACCTTTCACCCTTGGTGTAGATAGTGTTAACACAATGCCTGATGATGAGTAGAACTACTCATATCACATGAAGGAAGTACTGGGGAAATAAGACAAACATATCCTCAAAAACCAATTGCCAATATGCCAATGTTCTAGAATGTGCACACTCAGTTGCTATGATACAGCATTCAGTTAATGTGGTAAAAAGGGTATTGAGCATTTGAATCCTGGTCAGATGCATGAGCCACCATACACAATTGCTAAAACAATCCAGTGGAACTGTCCTGAATTATATGATGAAGTTCCTTATCATGTTTGGTAGATTTGAATATTGAAATAGTTGCTTTCAGGATTCTCAGAAACTGTCCCGAAGGAAGTAGATGGGAAACTGCAGTCTGTGCTGCTGGAATTGCCTCAGGCATATTTGCTGATTCCTTCATCAAGTGTACCCACCCTGCTACACCATCAGGCATATGTGCATATCCTTCCAGAAACTGGTGTGCACCGAAGTAAGCTGCTCAGCCCGTTTAACCACTGGTTCCTTGTTCTTGAACAAGAACTTTGCATATTGTGCCTGGTTGGTGCAATTCAAAAAGCAGATTTCCCAACGTTTGCAGCATCACTTATCATATTAATGGCTTGCATTTCACAGATATGTCACTCTTACAGTAGAGCACGAGCACCGCTCTACCGCGAATATTGTTCTGGTTGATTAATGACACACAAGACTATACAGACATTCTCTGGTGTGTCCCAAGGTCAGACACATGAACAATACAATAGCCGTATGAAAGGAGATGGGTTGCAGTTGGATTGACTGAAACAGCCGAGAGTGCTCTTCTAGAGGCCCGGGGGCACGGGTGGCCCAGTCGTCCAAGGCGCCCTGATTCGCTGTGCAGAGTTGCTTCCCTTGGGGACGCCAGTACCTATGATTTTGGGTGCGAATCCTGGTTCGCTCCGATTATGTCTCTAGGTTTGTCAGCACCATACCCCTTCTCGTGGGTTTCACCGAAGTGGTAAACGTCTAAGACTTGCATCACTTCGGGCTTTCCTCCCACATTAAGCTGACACGCCGTGATATAACTGGAATACTGTTAAAAGCGGTGTTAAACCCAACTCACTCACTCACTCATTCTAGAGGTCCACGGAATTCAAAGACATTGTCACTATTTAATGCCTTCATCGGTTCATATGCTTGGGATGCGTGTCAAGTATTTAATGAAGTCACCACTGCTTTCCCATCATCAGCAGATATCTCTGACAAGGCAATGCAGATTCTTGAGATGTTTGTCGTTCTCACTGGTTTATTTGGAAGGTCAATGAAAAGCAAATTCTCCGTTCATGAAGATCTTAGACAATTGACATTTCAACCCAAAGTCTCTAAGACAGCACCAATGCATGTATGGGGACAGGTGCTTGAGTCAGGGGTTGGGAGAGGACATGCAGTAATATGGATACCCAAGTGGACAGCACTTGGTCAGGCACAAAGAAGTGTTATAAACTAACACTACACCTGTAAGAAGTCTTGCAAACCGTTGTAAACTTTACACTGCCGGTCTTTAGTGCAGTGCTATGTGATACGTTGAAGGAAAGTGTTCACTGCAACTGGATTATAGAACCGTAAACACATACATTGAACTGATATTCCTGGTCCTACTTGAGTAGTAAGTAAGTTGATGTCAAAGGTTCATGGCAATAATATCAATAATACTTATACATACATTCCTGTTTTTGAGATATGAATCCATTCCCAGATGAGTGGTTTTGGGGTGATCTAATATAAACTAGGCAGAATATTTCTCAGTAGATCATTTATAAAATAATATGCCGAGAATAGATCATACACAATACATATTAATTGATACAATGTCATTTAAAAATGTTTCATCATATCAAAACTTATCAACTTGTCCTCAGTCCAAAGATATCAAATGATATCTAAATCTGCTGTAGAAATAGACAATTTCTGAAAACTAAAACATTTTGGAGGCCATCTTGGATTTTCGTCATCATAAAGCATTGATGAAATTGATCCTGAAAAAAACCACTGTGATAAATTGTATGAATTGACCAGATAATTATTATATAATGAGTACAGATTAAAGTCATTAGAGATTTCAACCATGTCGGCGGCCATCCTGGACTTTCATCACCACCAGGGGGTGCTGCATACTAGGTTGGAATTACATACAGGGTTGTTGTGATTACAATGATAATTTGTATAAATTGGCCAGATAACTATGATATATTGAGTATAGATTGATATCATTAGAGATTTCAGCCATGCTGGCGGCCATCTTGGATTTTCTAAAAACCAGGGGGCGCTGCAAACTATATTTGAATTATATACAGCTCTGCTGCAATTCATTCCGCATGCATTACTATGGATATGTGTATAAATGAATCAGATAAGTATGATATATTGAGTATATATTGATATCATAGAGAGAGTTCAACTTTGTTGGCGGCCATCTTGGATTTTCTTCCACCAGGGAGCTCTGCTGAGGTGGATCCATATCCAAAAATGTTCGGAATGGTTCAATGTATATATAAGTGTGCCAAGTTTGGTGCTTTTAACCCAAAGTGCACAATTTTAGCCTTAACCGCCCCACTACACTGGGCGGACTGACATGAGTAGCTAACTGTGACCAGTTGAGTTAAATATAACACATATGGTCACTCAAGGCATCGTCTTGAGATCCAAACCCAGGGCTCGTAAAGACCAAGGCATCGTCTTGCACCCCCCACACAGACCCAGGAATCGTCTTGCGTTCTGCTGCCTGACTCCTGTGAATTTCTTGGGCTGCCCCACACTGAAGCACATGTAACACATGTGATGTCGCCTTGGGCTCTTTTGTTCGAAATGTGCCTCTGTTCACCCACCAGTGAAAGTTCTCATGTGGGGAATCGAACCTGGGCCTTCGGCGTCACGAGCGAACGCTTTAACCACTAGGCTACCCCACCGCCCCGAAAGGGGATGATAATATACCCTACAACATAATATAGCAACGTTACATTATTGATACTCAATTACACAAATCTGTAATTAAACAAACATACCATTACAGTATTACATTTTACATGTACTGTATACCATGAGCATCACTCTATTCAAGCAAATATTACACAGTACAACCATACAGTGTAAGGCCAGAACAGCCATCAGTATATTATTACAGATACAAATCTCATTTATACGATAAAATACACTTTCAAACATGACACTACATACATATATTGCCAACACAAATGCCAACCTTCACTAAAATGGCACAACTAAGTAAAGTGTAAATTATGCGCGCAAGAGAAGAGAAATGTTGAAGTGTTGAGGCTCAGATCTGTTCACCTGCTACAGAAACAATAGTAGGGCAATCACTGGCCAAGCTGTGCCTGGACCTGGGAGCTAAAGGCCAAGAAATGCAAGCGAATCCCATGCTAACTTACATGACTACTTTACCTGGGATTAGTAGAGAGTGCTCGGGTTAGTTTAGGAGGCTGCTACCGTATTTAACTAAATTATTTACCGTTATTATGAATTAATACATAAATTAAAATACACAATATTTACATTCTGCTTCACATATTATTATATTAATGGATAGTCTGTATCCTACATTGGTTGACCGACATATCTCTAGCGATAGTGTTGAAAAATATATTTTCCGGTCGGGATTCGAATCAATCACGCATATAGACACATACCTATGAAATGAATGTTACACACTGAAATGGACTCGTCGATTTATACCTGAGTGGTAAGCTTGGCCCAAGCTTTTTGTTGACTGATTCACTGAGATCACATACATCACTGTTTTGTTCGATCTTTCAGTGAACGAGGTTTGAAAACGTGTAGATCTGCCATGGATAATGGTATGTTAGTTGAATGTTTGACATGTTTTCCATTTTAGCCCATATATGCATTACATACAATGACAGATGCGAGAGAGACAGAGACTTGTGAACATAACGGCAGCAGTAGGCCTATACTTATTTTATGAAGTTTTCATTTTTAACGCATTTCGAAAACCATCTAGTAACTTGCACTTGGTCCGGTATTTATAACTCCGGGATACGTCCGGATAATATAGGCGGAAGTGATCAGGGGAGATAATAAAACAAGGGGAATGGAGCACGTTGAACCTTTGTGAAAGTTTTTGCAGAGCAATGGCAGCAACTTATGCAGAAAATGAACTCAATTTGCTTCCAGCAATCTATGATGTAATACGCAGGTAATATTTAAGTCTGAAGATAACAAGATGAAGTTGGTTTCATAAAATGCCCACAGAAAAAGTCACCGATTGAGGAATTTGGGCAATTTTCGTTTCGCAAACAAACGTATTTCTTGCGTGACGTATAATATTAAAATGTTTATGGCACATGTGCTGTTGACGTAGAGCGAAAGCCTTGCAAAGCTTGCTTTGTTTTCTTTAGGGATGGCCACCTCATGTTAGCTTACCAAGTTGCCGTGCTTATATGCTTTCAATGCATTTCATATGTTGCGAGTGAAGTATTACGGTGTAAACAAACTGCTTGAGTATCTACAGGTAACCTAGCTCTACATTGAAAACATATGGTATGGTTATCTCCTAATTGATCAACTGGCCAATCATTGAAAGATGATTAAAGATGCTTCAAACAAACACTAAGGTAAATTCATAGATTGTTGGAAACGGTCACTGTCAGCCTAGACACGGATCGAGTCGATACTACGATAGTTTGGATGTGCATTTCTTCGCTTGTTCATTAGGATGGGCTGTAGTGAGGATATTCATAAGCAATCATGCAGTCAAGCCCTCTGACGTTTCTCAATGTATACTGAAACGCTGAGACCAAGATTAAAGGTTCTAAATGATCAGAAAGAAGGCTTATGTATGTTTTCGTGCTGGGAAATTCCCAGGGAATGTGGAAGTAGTCAATCAGTGTTTACGTCATTTCAAGGACACGGTCTCGTAAAAAACGTATGAACATCAATTTTGCGGTCATGTGACCGACCTCTTGTCCAATGGAGAAGCCGTGTATCGTGTAAACGTCAAATTAATAAATTATTTGCTTATTTATTATAATGCCAGCAACATACTAGGAAAATCCTAAGTCCCAGAAAAACAGGACATCTTGTGGTTCATAAAATCATTTTATGATGGCTGATTCAACTGGAAAAGCCTTATTTCATTTCCCTTTGGGTAGTGCATTGATAGACGATATCAGAATCAACTTGTTCATTAATGGAGAATGTCACAGGCCAGGTAACTCAATTCCTACATATTGATAACATTTCACCATAATAAATGTATATTTTCTCTTCCTCAGTATTGAAAAGGACTCACATGATGTCAATCAAAAGATGACTGATCTTAAAAACCAACTACAGAAAGCTCGAGAAAGTGTTGACAAACTTTCTGGTGTCCAGACAAGCAAAGACGAACAATTGAAGAAAATAGATATCCTTCGGAAACAGCTGACACTGAAGACAGAGTTACTACAAAAATACAAGAAGCTGAACAACTTTGAATTGGGGCATTGACACTCTTGTTAAAATATCATCATTCTGTTTTTACTCTACCATCGAACCTCAGTTCTGTTACTCATACACCTCATTACTGAAGCCTTCTTATATGACTGCCTTTCTGCATTTGAGAAGACATTTATAGAGAATATTTCCCATTTAGCTCTTTGAAAATTCATATTAATTGTTTGATTAATGATGGAAGGGGATACCAAGGCTCATGCCATCTATAACAAGGATCCTGAAGAATGGATGCAGTTTGTGTATAAACAAGTCACAGTTCTGGCTGAGGATGGGACCGAACATACAGGTTGGGTGTTTACTGTAGACCCAGTTTCAGAAACCATTGTCCTGGCTCAGTTTGATCAAGATGGCAATGTTAGCATTGACATTATTAACGGCAGCACTGTATCTAAGGTAACTGTTATCAACAATAATACAGAAATATATAGAGTCCAACTTGATCAGCTGTTCAAGCCTGCTTCAGTCTTAGCCTTGACCCCTGATGAAATGAAGAGGAGACAACTCTTGCTAAAATCCTGGCTGGAAAAAAATCGAATTCCAGTCACTGTTGATGGAGACATTTTGACAATTGCGGATGCTCTCTTTATTGAGCCACCATATGGGTTTGAAAATTGTCGCAGTACAAATGAAATTGTGCTTGGTAGAATTCAAGGTTTGATAAAAAATATGCCTGAAGATCATGACACTTGGTGATAAATGTCGCATATACATTCCTTCTTATGTTCGGTTTTGTACTGCAATTATTTTTACCAAAGTTGTGATCAAATATTTCAGTCACAGATCATAAATAACAAAACATTTTAGAGAGAAAAAATCGGGCAATTGATTTCTGGAATTTTGTTCATCTTGAAATATGATGTCTTCTTTTTGCTAAAAAGGTAACTGGCTGGCAATCTGGGCCAGACAGTGTTGAAAAGAACAGGCCCTAATTCACGATATCGGGGCCAATGTTGGCCCTGTTTTCTCAGGTGCTGTAAATTGCTGTGCAGAGTTGCGTCCCTTATATTTTTAGGTTTGTGTGCAACATACCCCAGTGGGGGGTTTGACTACAGTGGTAATTGTCCGAAACCTGCATCACTTCAGGCATTTTTCTCACATTAAGCTGACACTCGTCACTTATCAAATTGAATGTATTAGGATGCAGGAAGTCGTGTCCGATAAATTCCTGATAGCTCGACCATCAATACTTAAGTCTTTTATATACATTCCTCCTTCACCCGTGAATAAACTGCTGTGTCGAATGAAAGCGATATGAAAGCTTTAGCTCGACACACCAGGAGCATTCTTCTGTTGCTTTATTTATCATGTTTCTAGGCGACTGATCAGCCTTTTTAAAGACTATTCCTGGAGACGAGTGTAAATCTTCACCAGTCCTCAGAGTTTGAAGCAGGTCCTGCTTGAACAAAACAAACATGTTAGCCATGTTTACATTTTCTGTCAGTTTTGTTAAGTTCCACTTTGTAGAAAAATTGGTTAACTGGTTCAGAATTTTAGCCCTCAAATGTTACTCGTCAATGAGGACAACCATCGTTGAAGTTTTACTTGTCCTCAGCACAATTTAGTAGTACATGTATTGGGCTTACAGACTAGCATGAATTTTTAGGCTGAACATCAAACATACCCTTGTTGTGTTGCAAGGTTTAGACCTGTAACTTAGTATATGTTTAGACACATTGTATCATGTTCATTATGTGTCAAGATGTCAATCAAAGTGATGAGATGATCATATACATGTTCAATGAGGAATAAATGTTTTCAGATCTTTGAATGTGTTGTGTAATGAGATTTGAGAATAGCTCCTACTTTCAGGCAGAAAAGATTAGAGATCTTTCTTTTGTGGCTTATTGATACTCTTAGCAATATTCTAATTATTTCACTATTTCCAGTAAAAAAAGAAGTCTTGACCACACAAACCAGTGATTGATATTATGAGCAACTTGCCAGATCATGTGGGTAAGATGACACAATCAACCAGAGCCTGAACCCTGAGCAAACTTTGACTGCCCATTCTGAATGGAAGATGCATGGGTTTTTGAGCCAATCAGATGTTGGCTTTCTTCAACAATCACGCTTCATTTCTTACCACTTTGATTTGGAAATTTCAATCTTGGTAAAAAGAAAACTGCACAAATATAGCCTCGATAGTACACACTTTGGGTGTAGATGCCATGGCGCTCAGAAACAACTGGATGTAATAAATATAATATACACAACAATATAATAGCACAACTTTATTTTATGCATTCAGAACTAACCGGTCATATTACATTTCGGGAAGTAAAAATCAGATGAATCTCAGGATGCCTTAACTTGAAAAGAAAGTTCAACTGATGCAACATCCCATAGAGGTCTCCTCAGATCTTCAGGGAGAGATATATCGTATATAATAAGATTGGTAAGGCCACAAACGTGTGGACAAAAGTGGCATCCCGGGTAGAACTTCTCCAGACAGTCTGCAGTGAAGAAACCCCGAAACATGCATATCAAGGCCATTAGTCACTGCCTGCCTTAATTATCCCCCGCCGCGCGAAAGCGCGAAGCGGGGGATATAGTATTCACGACCGTCCGTACGTCCGTCCGTCCGTCCGTACGTCCCACCTGTTTGTTGCCGCGATATCTCAAGAACTAAACACTGGATTGTCTTCATATTTGGAACTATGGTGTATATACAGACTCCGCAGACACCAGTCCGTTTTGGTGACCTTGATCCCATTTTAAAGGTCACAGCAGGCAAATCTGCTTTTGGAGTTGGAAAACGGTGTTGCCGCAATATCTCAAGAACTAAACACTGGATTGTCTTCATATTTGGAACTATGGTGTATATACAGACACCGCAGACACCAGTCGGTTTTGGTGACCTTGACCCCATTGTCAAGGTCACAGCAGGCAAATCTGCTTTTGGAGTTAGAAAACGGTGTTGCCGCGATATCTCAAGAACTAATCGCTGGATTGTCTTCATATTTGGAACTATAGTGTATATACAGACACCGCATACACCTGTCAGATTTGGTGACCTTGACCCCATTTTCAAGGTCACAGCAGGCAAATCTGTTTTTGGAGTTGGAAAACGGTGTTGCCACAATATCTCAAGAACTAATCGCTGGATTGTCTTCATATTTGGTACTATGGTGTACAGGCGGGGGATATTTCGTCACTCTGTGACAAATACTTGTTCTTATATAAAATCAGTTTGTTTTTTGTCTAACATTGCCACATCTTACCACAAGGACAGCATCTGCGGTTAAGTGGAGAAAGCGTCTGCCCAGAGAGCAGAAGGTTGGCGGTTCGATCCTGGACTGCGTCATACAAAAAGATAGTACTTGTTACCCTGCCTGGCGCTTGGCATTAAGGGGATAAAACGACTGGTCGGTTGGAGTCAGTATACTTGAGAGGGGTTTCAAGTGGGCTAGCAGTACAAATTTGGCATTAGCCCAGACTTTTCCAAGCAGACACAGACACATACTTTGTGATGTGCATGTACATTGCTTTATAAGTGCAATAATCTTGATATTGTTCATGATCAGCATTAAACCCCATTTCACCTCACCTCACCTCATCCCAACATTGTGGAACGTTCACAGAAAACATGACAACAAAAGGATTCATATACATCATGTTGCTTTATTATAAATGAGTATATATTATGGTACATGTTCGTCTTTGCCAAGCACACATACAAATACATGCAAGCAAATCGTGCATGAATGTTCGGAGGTGAAAATAGACATTGATGATCTGGACAGAAACATAACTAAAGACTTCAATACAGAATTAAAACATCTCTGTGAAAGACACATTCAAGTAGCAATATTGAACAGGGAATCTTGCAATAAACACCAGCAGAACACATATTTGATCGTCATCCATCAGAGAGTAGATCTGTTGGCTGCTTCAGCAAGATTCCAACAATATCAAGGTAGGGGATATCAGAAAAGGGCTTCATATTCTCTACCAATGTGGGAATCAAACCCAGACCATCGTTGAGATGAGCAAAATGCTTTGTCTCACCTTATATTAAAGTATTAGCTTCTTATTGGTCAAGGAGTGGGCATTTATTTTAGATTAGATTTGGAAAACATCTGTCAACACCGATTTGATGGTACACATGCTCTGCAAATTCTGCAGTTGACATGACAGTTGCCATGTTGTTTTTGATCCGATGTCCATAATTTAACCTAGTTTGGCAAGGGTGGAAACTTGATTTTATAGTCAGTTAACTCCCTTGTCAACGGCCATATGTCTGGAACTTACAGCAGAACTAATGAACCAGCCATCAGATCGTCCTTCAAGTATATACCATCAAGGATGTTATACCAATTTACTGGCCAAAAACACTCCTACTTACGCACATACCATCAGAAATAAACTGATAAATGTCTTTTACTTTGTTACACATAATTCACTGAGAAGAAATCCACACGATGCTTTCGGGATGCTTTTCAAAACGTGAAACAGTAAAAATTCTCAGGCCATGCCTCACAATAACTTTTGAAAGAGTCTTCAAAATTAAGTGTCATGAAAGTTTCTAGGCAGTTGGAGTGAGTGAGTATGTTCGTTTAATGCCGCTTTGAACAGTCTCAGGTATATCATGGTGTGTTGATGTGGGAGGAAAGCCTGAAGTTATTCACATCAGACATTACCACTTTGGTGAAACCCACGAGCACGGGCATGGTGCTGACAAACCTAGGAACATCACCTGGGCAAACCTGGATTTGAACCTGTGATCATAGTGCTTTGGCACGACGCCACTCTGCACGACGCAACTCCGCACGATGAATTGCAGTGCTTTACATGACTGGGCCACCCATAGCCCCTCAAACCAGTTGGAATATCCCACCTAGACTAAATTTAACTAACATTGTGATGTTTTTTAATCCAATCCATGGAGAAGAGGGTGGTACAGAACCAGGATTCGTATGGCCTTGGACAAAACTAAAGTCACGATCATGGTTACAGCAGATATTGACATCACACATATTCAAGACAATCACACTTCTTTCGCCAACAAGAACACTACGTGCCTCAGACATAAACAGACACTTCCCCTGTACATTATGTCACACTTTATTTGGGGGGGTCAATGTCTTCGATCAACCATGGCCATGACAGCCAGTTCACCACATAACGGGTAGTGTTATCGGCTATATATAATTGTTCCCTAAAATACAAATGAGGTCACCTAGCAGGAACTACTTGAAATGTTGTGTGTAACATTCCCTAAAGGATCGGAGAGTTGTTGTTTTCCGATGTGTCAGTGCTTATGAAAACAGCAAAGGCTGCAGATCATTTGACACTACATCATAAATGGGGCGGTTCACTCAGGCTTTATATTCCTACGTGTTTTCTTAAGTTTCACTTCTCACATGTATATTACGCTCCTCCGTAACCAAAGAAAATGTATGTCAACTTTGCAGTGTACTAGTGAGGCATGTTCATATCTACGACAGTAATGAAATGAGACTATGCACAACTCACACAGGTCAATGAAGTGCAACTGGGAACTTTGTGCAAACCCTACCGTTGCCTGGTGTTGAAGCAGCTGGTCACAAAGCCACAACACTGCCATTGTTATCCTGATTATTCCCATGCCATGGCTTGAGTGGTCGGTTAAAAATAGCAACTCTTCCGCAACTTACTCACTGTTTGTTGTCATGGTGATGAAGAAAAGGAAGTGTATATAAACCTGTGAAGTACTGACGATGCCAATGGCAAAAACATAACGCTTAAATGATTCTGCAACTGATTTCCCCCTTGTTTAAGACAAGTACTGAATGAATGCTGGCTAGATAGTTTGAATGTAACGTTTACCTGAACAATATATCAATCTCATTACAATCAGATCTTCAATATGATATCTTTACTCATGACGATCTGCGGACACCTCCATAGCAGGTTACTTCTGTGAACTTTCTAATCAGCTAATCAGCCAATCAGTGCCAAGGCTTCTGAATTCAGGGTATGAATGAGTAAAGTATACAGAGCAACATATCTGAATACTGTGCCTTGAGGCCTGTGAAGATCTGGATAGAGAATAAGACTTCAGCAACCTATGCTTGCCATACCTGGCCATGATGCTTGTCGTAATAGGAGAATAACGTGATAGGGTGTTCAGGCTCGCTGACTTGGTTGATGCATGTCATCGTATCCCAAATGCGTAGATTGATGCTCATGATCTAAATCACTGGATTGTCTGTTCAAGACTCGATTATTTATAGACCACCGTCATATAGCTGGAATATTGCTGAGTGCTGGGTTAAACAAAACAAACAAAATGTAACTTGAAAACAAAATAAACAGTTCTAAATGTTAATAAAAAAACTACACCCAAAATGGTGAACTTTCGAGCGTAATATCTGGTGGCTTTCTTTCTGTAAGTGCCTACCATCTAAGGAATATGTATGTTCTATGTGAGAAGCATGTCTGATTTCTGCACCTCTAACAAGAATATTACTTTTGAGCTCTGTATGTTAAAAAATATAGTCAAGCTATTAAATTGTTGTGAACATATTATGCATCCTTTTGTTTCTGAGCGCCATGGCATCCACACCAAATGTATGTACCATTGTGGGTAATTTTGTGTTGTATGCCAGTTTTCTTTTGCCAAGATCAAAATATCGGAATCAAAGTGGTGAGACAACAATCAGTGTAGAAAGTTGCCATTCATTTGACTCAAGAACCCATGCATCCTTCCTTGAGACGAGGCAGTCAACAATCAATCCTGAGTCTCCTAACGGACCTACTATGGAGGAGAAGTTAGATCTTCATGCAGAGTGGTATCGCATCAGAGTAGGATTTCATTTTAATGAAATTGGGAACAACATCTGAAAAACTTCACAAATAAGTACATATTTATCAAGACTGCAATGCCACACATTCCGGCTTTCATAAGCTATTATTAACCAAAGACAACATTGAACAGTTTGTGTAATCTCACATCAACGACTCACGATCAACTCTCATGATTTATTGACCATTCGCTGCTCAGCTTAAAACTTGGAGTGTTGTTCTGTACATACATTATCAGTCCACATCTCACATCGAGTATCTACACCGTTCTACTTGGTTCTATGTGTAAATGTAAAGCTAAAATCAGTCACAATCCAGTCTCTTTCTTACTTTCAGTAACTATCTATCTATCTATCTACATCACATGGTCGTCTTTCACGCAGTGCCTTTTTCTCCGTCGTGTGAGACTGATCACATGACAAACACCTTGTCGATATCATCTAGCTTGTAGATTTCTCTTGTTCGTGGGCAGACAACCCGGCCATCGTTATTAGAAGCCATTGTCGCAAGAGACTGAAAAAAAGTTGGTATGTTTTGTAAACATAAACAGATATCTTAATCATATGGGTTTGATATGGATGAAAAGAAGAACATTACTCATAAAACCATAAAGTTTCCAGAACAATTATTTTTAAATCTGAAAATGGAGGCTATGCTCCAATCTTTGGTGCCAATTTCCTGTTGAAGTCAAGACAATCTCGTACGTACACAATGTGAAAGGACAAAGCATGGAGGGCACTTTTGCCCACAATTTTGTGAATTGAGGGAAACCATTTAAAATCATTATGAAAGTAGACTTTCTTCATTTCAATAACTGCATGTTTAGGTTTAAATAAACAAGTAAGGCTAAAATGTGTGCAACAGTCTGTATTTAGGGGTTTCAGGTAGTGTTTTAAAATAGTTGATCATGAGCAAGTCTTCGACTAATGGTGATTTTCTTAGGAGATGTAATTAAAACAGCATAAATACATGGTACAGAATTCAAAGACTTGCCCAAACATAGATTTCTCTTTAAGTTAAAAAAATCAGCATTGCAAAACACATGTAAGATTGAAAAAGGCTAGTTGTCAGTCATTACCTCATGTTTTTGATGTCTCTATGTATTTAGGATAATAAAAAAAACACATATCAAATCAAACACAGAAATAAAAAAGGGCCAATTTGCCCAAGCCTAGTGCCCCTCGAATTCCCTAAACATTTGACAAAACAGATGCATACATTCTTCCCAGGGAGCACACAATGCAAATTCTTCTTTAATTATCAATTTAAATTAAGAATCCCTCATTCAAAAACAGAAAGTTGTATCAATATCAATGCAACACATGTTGCTGCATATAAAAGATGTACAAAATTACCAGTAGTCATGGTGATAGTCAGCTGATTTACAAGTAATTGCTGAAATTCTGGATGTATCTTTTCCAGTCAAACACACATCCACACAGCACTCCCTCCTGATTAAACACACAACACTGCCTGAGAGCACAATTCACAGATGAGTTATCTCCCCTTGCCAGACAAGTCCATGTACTCAAGAACCTGCCTGGGCCCGTTCCACAAAGCGATCTTAGCGCTACGACTATCGTTAGCCTATGTTAAAGTATGGGAATTAAGATCGTCTTAGTACTGCGATCGCTTTGTGGAACAGGGCCCAGGACCCTAACGGAGTGGCACCTTTTCACATTAAAAAACATGTTGCTCCTGAAACAGTATTCACTATATTAAGCACCCCGGTCTAATAAGCACACTAAACCAAATTTTAGACCAAACTGTGTATAATCTTCAAAATTGCCTGTAAATATTTCCTTGCGTATATATTAACATGGTTATTTTTACAAGAACACCAGAGCTGTGTAGAAGTGACAACATATCTTACAAGCATATATTGTGAAAGTGAAAACATTTAATATTGAAAGCATAAAATTGATACTGGACATCAGAATTAAACTTGAGTCAAACTTAAACTACCACTTAAGTTTTTAACAGCCTAGGATGCTTTGTACAGTGAATACGGTATGTCAAGAGCAGCTCATAGCCAAAGGTAGAAATCTACTCACATTGTATCCATAAACATGGCCATTGGGGAGCATCATCGGAGGGTTATTCTCGTTGAGGGAACCACCCGTAATTGTGCAGATAAGTTTGGAGTTGGCACAGTGGGCATACGGCAGAGGTCTAGCGAGCTCGTTCAGGTGTTTGGAACACACGGGACAGTTGGGGTTCTTGTTGTCAGATGTAGACTTGTAACAGTGACTGTGACAGTTAAGGATATCACTGGGAAGCACTTGTATTGTGGAACTGACATATTGACATACAGTAAACTACGGTTATAATGAACTCAAAAGGATCACTACATTTAGTTCGTAATATCCGTACATTGTAGTTTGTTATAAGCATATATACAGCATATATACACAAATTACCGGGACCAAAAAATTAGCTTGTTATATCCGTCAGTTCGTTCGTTATAAACATAGTTTACTGTATTTGACAAAAAACTGAATCCACCATAGTCCAGTGATGTGAGTGAGTGAGTGAGTGAGTGAGTGATATGAGTGATATGAGTGAGTGAGTGAGTGAGTGATATGAGTGATATGAGTGAGTGAGTGAGTGAGTGAGTGAGTGAGTGAGTGACATTGTCGGGAATCGAATCAGGGTCTTAGGCATGAGGGTGAACTAGGCTACCCCACCGCCCGAAACCAATATTAATGCACTTCAGGGGACCTGCAAAGTAAGTTCATTACACTAATCTGTGTCAAAAGGTTTTGAGTCTACTTGTCCATACTTGGCTATCAGCATGGTTTTCAGGAGATTCAGTGTTATTAATTGACAATTTCTATCAGAGCTTACATGACCAAACAGAAGTTTACTAGACTCCAGCTTCAGGCAAGTGGCTGAAGATGCAAACTGTTAATCCCAAGTTGGTGCTTCTCCCCCTGTGGCATGCAAAAGTAAAACTTCGGGGGAAATGTTTTGCAATAGTGGACTCTTTGCTGTATCCAATTTCATCCCATCTTGTATTTTAATAAAGACAGTGCCCAAGCCTAAGACACTTGTAACTGTCATGGAGTCAAACCTGGTGTCAATGAGTCAAACAAGTCATGTATTCATACCTACTATCATGGAATCAAACATATCAAGGCTGCTTATCAAGCCAAAGTGAGTGAGTGAATGAGTTTGGTGTAACACTGCCTTGAATATGGCCTCAAAGTTTAATTTTTACATAAGGAGCCATTGGCTCCTAACCATTGTTTTCACGGAGCCAATGTGAAATTCAAGAAGCTAGGTGAGAAATTATGGAGGAAAACTTCCAAGATAATAGTCGGTTAAGGCAAACCTAATCTGCCTAGTTGGAGCTATACTGATTTCTCTGTTCGGTGTAACAATCTTTGTTGTTAGTAACGTTTTTGAAAATACTTGACAAGATTATCGATTAATTTTTACCATACAATTCCCAAGCTGATCATTAGATATCATAAAATGAAATTTTAGTTCAGTTGATCAATAGTTATTTAAATTGTATTTTTGCATTATGCAGTAGTAATATCAGGTCACGGCTTGATTTTTTCATAAGCCAAGTGTCGACAGCTAAAATAATATTGATTGCAAGCTGAAAATATATATTGCCATGGTGACCAAATTAGTTGCAATGTTGAGGCCTGTTGAACAGTAATTAACTTATATCACAATGTGTCCGCTTGATGTGGGAGGACAGGCCAATGCAGGTTTTAGACATTTACCACTTTGGCGAAGCTGACAAATATAGAAACATGATCAGGGACAGTCTGGGATTCGAATCCAAGGTCATAGTTCTGGACACTATGAAGCAATGAATTTCTACAGATGGCTTCCTACCTAAATAAGATGAACTTAATTTAATCATTATTCCACGTGCACTGGTATGGTGCTGACAAACGTGGAAACATAATTAGTGTGAATCTTGGACTCAAACCCATGATCACAGGTTCCTGGCCCGCCATACAGGTGCACCTCAGTGTCACAGGTTCCTGGCCCGCCATACGGGTGCACCTCAGTGTCACAGGTTCCTGGCCCCCCATACAGGTGCACCTCAGTGTCACAGGTTTCTGGCCCGCCATACAGGTGCACCTCAGTGTCACAGGTTCCTGGCCCGCCATACAGGTGCACCTCAGTGTCACAGGTTCCTGGCCCGCCATACGGGTGCACCTCAGTGTCACAGGTTTCTGGCCCGCCTACAGGTGCACCTCAGTGTCACAGGTTCCTGGCCCGCCATACAGGTGCACCTCAGTGTCACAGGTTTCTGGCCCGCCATACGGGTGCACCTCAGTGTCACAGGTTCCTGGCCCGCCATACAGGTGCACCTCAGTGTCACAGGTTCCTGGCCCGCCATACGGGTGCACCTCAGTGTCACAGGTTCCTGGCCCGCCATACGGGTGCACCTCAGTGTCACAGGTTCCTGGCCCGCCATACGGGTGCACCTCAGTGTCACAGGTTCCTGGCCCGCCATACGGGTGCACCTCAGTGTCACAGGTTCCTGGCCCGCCATACAGGTGCACCTCAGTGTCACAGGTTCCTGGCCCGCCATACGGGTGCACCTCAGTGTCACAGGTTCCTGGCCCGCCATACGGGTGCACCTCAGTGTCACAGGTTCCTGGCCCGCCATACGGGTGCACCTCAGTGTCACAGGTTCCTGGCCCGCCATACGGGTGCACCTCAGTGTCACAGGTTCCTGGCCCGCCATACAGGTGCACCTCAGTGTCACAGGTTTCTGGCCCGCCATACGGGTGCACCTCAGTGTCACAGGTTCCTGGCCCCCCATATAGGTGCACCTCAGTGTCACAGGTTCCTGGCCCGCCATACGGGTGCACCTCAGTGTCACAGGTTCCTGGCCCGCCATACGGGTGCACCTCAGTGTCACAGGTTCCTGGCCCGCCATACGGGTGCACCTCAGTGTCACAGGTTCCTGGCCCGCCATACCGGTGCACCTCAGTGTCACAGGTTCCTGGCCCGCCATATAGCTGCACCTCAGTGTCACAGGTTCCTGGCCCGCCATACGGGCACACCTCAGTGTCACAGGTTCCTGGCCCGCCATACGAGTGCACCTCAGTGTCACAGGTTCCTGGCCCGCCATACGGGCACACCTCAGTGTCACAGGTTCCTGGCCCGCCATACGGGTGCACCTCATTGTTACAGGTTTCTGGCCCGCCATATAGGTGCACCTCAGTGTCACAGGTTCCTGGCCCGCCATATAGGTGCACCTCAGTGTCACAGGTTCCTGGCCCGCCATACAGGTGCACCTCAGTGTCACAGGTTTCTGGCCCGCCATATAGGTGCACCTCAGTGTCACAGGTTCCTGGCCCGCCATACGGGCACACCTCAGTGTCACAGGTTTCTGGCTCCCCATACAGGCGCACCTCAGTGTCACAGGTTTCTGGCCCGCCATACGGGTGCACCTCAGTGTCACAGGTTTCTGGCTCCCCATACAGGCGCACCTCAGTGTCACAGGTTCCTGGCCCGCCATACGGGTGCACCTCAGTGTCACAGGTTCCTGGCTCCCCATACAGGCGCACCTCAGTGTCACAGGTTCCTGGCCCGCCATACGGGCACACCTCAGTGTCACAGGTTTCTGGCCCGCCATACGGGTGCACCTCAGTGGCATAGGTTTCTGGCTCACCATATGGGTGCACCTCAGTGTCACAGGTAATGTCCACAGTATTCACACCAATGTGAGGTGGGTCAGTAAAGGATACGGTGTTTTGAGTGAAGACAGTCCGGCCTGGATGGCGGCGGTGAAGACAGACGTACAGTTGAGCTGGTGCAACTTGAAGTTTTCCTCCCGGAACTGCTGGACAAGCTCCTGCCACCGGCTCACATCAAGCAGCTCCTGCAACACCACAGCATACACTCACTCACTCACTGACTAGTCCTGCAACACCACAGCAGACACTCACTCACTCACTGACTAGTCCTGCAACACCACAGCATACACTCACTCACTCACTGACTAGTCCTGCAACACCACAGTATACACTCACTCACTCACTGACTAGTCCTGCAACACCACGGCATACACTCACTCACTCACTGACTAGTCCTGCAACACCACAGCATACACTCATTCACTCACTGACTAGTCCTGCAATACCACAGCATACAATCACTCACTCACTGACTAGTCCTGAAACACTACAGCATACACTCACTCACTCACTGACTAGTCCTGCAACACCACAGCATACACTCACTCACTCACTGACTAGTCCTGCAACACCACAGCATACAATCACTCACTCACTGACTAGTCCTGCAACACCACAGCATACAATCACTCACTCACTGACTAGTCCTGAAACACTACAGCAGACACTCACGAACTAGTTCTGAAACACCACAGCATAGACAAGCATACGAAAAGCATGGGTCCATGAATTTCAGACATTCTTACAGATAACTGTTTCTACTAGACAGATCAACAAAATATTCCATCATTCCCCCAGGTGCCATACCTTATAAGGAGCTATCTGTGTATCACTGGGGAATGCCAGGAGTGCCATGACCTTCTGCACCGCTGGGATCTGGTCGTCCTCGACACCACTCAGGTATTTCCTGGCATGTCTGCACATACGGAACATTTAACATGTCAGGATGGAGATTCAACAAGTTACTTCATTCCTATTGATTTGGGCAAATCAAACCTCCACAGACGAAATCTGGTTGCTACCCTTGCAGGCAGCATGTCACCTGCCTACCAGCAACTATTTTGTTCTGTGGCAACAACTTCACCCAATCTGTTGGAACTTGTCCATGCCAATGGCTCCTAGAAATAACCCTATGTTAATGTTAAACGTTCAACCACTAAGGGTCCCTACATTCAAAGACCGCCTCTGTGGTCTACTGGTAGAGCGTCCGCCCAGAGCGTTGAAGGTCCAGGGTTCTCTCCACGGCCGCGTCATACCAAGAAGACGTTAAAAGATGGTACTTACTGTTACCCTGTCTGATGCTCGGCATTTAAGGGGCTAAAACAAGGACTTGTCGGCTCGGAGTCAGTATACTGTGTCTGAGTGGGGTATTCATGTTAAACTGTGGCATGGTACGTGCATGCATGTCGCTATATAGGTGCAATAATCTTGGAAGCCACGTTAAACCCCATTTCACCTCACCTCACCTTACATTCAAATACTATTCAGCGTTAGAAATTGGCACTAGTCCTGTAGTCCTTGCTAAACTGCCCAGTGGTTAAGGTATCCTAAGGACGAGAAGAAATTTGCCCTTTTTAAGGGTTTTGCTATATATTATCATTATAAGGACTAGTGGGCTAAAACAGTTACCATATTCGATGTAATAAGCGCCCAAGGCTCTCTCAAAATTAAAAATAGGGGTCTGTTATTAGATTATTATTTGGGTGAAAAAAAAACAGTTAAAAGATAAATAACGTGGTTTATGCTGAGATCCTGAAATGTTTTCCAGAGTTTAATTGCCCATAATTATGGATGCATATAACACATGAGTGCGGATTATACGTGAATAAGTAAGTCTTTTGTACATTGATCAATCGGAAGGGGTGCTAATTGGGATTGTTCACTAGCTAATATATTAGCAAATATCGCCGTGGGCACCTATTAGAGCGGGGCGCTTACTACGTCAAATACGGTAGTTTCTATTGTTGCTATTGCAGCAAACTCCCAGGACCACTGTGGTGCTTCTAATTCCTAACATCGCTGATTTTACCACAGGAACATCAACCTTAGATTTTGGGGAAGCAAGTTTGTGATTCACATGTGTATTCATCGTGGTTGTATGTGTATGATTTGTTTGTTTGCTGTTTAACGCCGAACACAGCAATATTCCAGCTATATGACGGCGGTCTGTAAATAATCAAGTCTGGACCAGACAATCCAGTGATAGATATCCAGGCATCGATGTAAGTGTATGAAGGCATAACTGTGACAGAAGGGAGGTAACAATGTTAGCATTGATATGGTTAACTATGACAGACTGGCGGTAACAGTGTTAGCTTTAAGGTTAACTGTGGAAGAAGGGTGTATAGTATCAGCATTGAGATGTTGACTATGACTAAGGGAGGTAACAGCGTTAGCATTGAGATGGTTAACAATGACAGATTGGGGGAAACAGTGTTAGCACTGATATGGTTAGCTGTGAAAGAAGGGACAAAACTGTTATCATTGAAATGGATAACTATGACAGAAGGGAGGAAACAGTGTGAAAACTGATCTTCACGGGTCGAGAAGGTACTTAACCATCTCATTGCTAACACTGTAACGTCCCTTCTGTCAGAGATGGTTAACTATGACAGAAGGGCAGTTACATTATTAGCACTGACATGGTTAACAATGACAGAAGGGCAGTTACATTATTAGCACTGACATGGTTAACTATGACAGAAGGGCAGTTACATTATTAGCACTGACATGGTTAACTATGACAGAAGGGCAGTTACAGTGTTAGCACTGACATGGTTAACTATGACAGAAGGGCAGTTACATTATTAGCACTGACATGGTTAACTATGACAGAAGGGCAGTTACATTATTAGCACTGACATGGTTAACTATGACAGAAGGACAGTTACAGTGTTAGCACTGACATGGTTAACTATGACAGAAGGGCAGTTACATTATTAGCACTGACATGGTTAACTATGACAGAAGGGCAGTTACAGTGTTAGCACTGACATGGTTAAGCATGCTAGAAGGGAGGTAACAGTGTTCATTAAGTATGTATGTTTAGGGTAAACCACATGTAACAAAGTTCAATAGCCATATTCAACCACATTGATGCTTAAAAAAACTTTGTCACAAATGTTTAGCCTCAGTAATGACGCTACTTCCACCACCATCGTGCAGCCATAGCAATGAATGACATATGAACCATGGTAACATACATCCGCCTACTAGAAGTGTTGACATCTCATCATATCACATGACCGCATCCACTGAGCTGCAGCAGCATGAAGTACAACACAGGAAGTGTTTCTCAGACTCAATCTCGGAATCAGCCGGAGTGAGTGAGTGAGATGGGTTTTATGCTGCTTTTGGGATGATTCGGTTAATATCAGACCGAGGGCATACCTATCTTTATTTGCTATTTATGGATCTGCCGACTCTGCTAATAATTAAACCCTTTATGATCATGGTGTTTGACTTACTTGACAGCCTCCAGTCTCTTATCACTGCGAACCAACTCAATAAACTCCTGTCTGCGAACTTTGAACTCTAGGGTACTCTGAAACCAAGTGACAAGTGATGAAGATGCTGCTGCTGCCATGTGGTCTTGGTTTTCTTTCTTTCATGTGACAAATATGAGAAAGGAATTGCTGATGCGGGGATTTATCCGAGAGTCTAAAATAAGTGCCCCTTGCTGGCAATTGGGAAAAAATTGTTACTTTGTTCAAATTTAGTTCTTAGTTTCTTAAATTCAGAGGTATTTTAACTTTCAAGTCTTTGAATGGCATTTAGCACCAATTACATAATATAATATAATACATACATAATATGTAATTGTTTTCTTCCCTTCCAATTCGTGGCGGGGGATAATAATAAGCCATGCTAATATATTGTTGCGGATATGTTACACATCCTGTTATCTCAATAGGGTGAACTATCAAGGGTATATTAATGCTCGGTGGCAGTTTTCTGAGTTTGGACACTCAATTTTTACTCAAGGTCCACCTGACCTGTTCCAGAGACATCCTCAGGGAAAACTCTGACTGCCCAAGTTAAAGGAAGGATACGTGGGTTAACCAATCAGGTGTTGGACATTTCCACTTGTGCAAATGAAAACCCACATAGAACACAAATATGCCTTCGATGGTACTCTTTTTTAGGTGTAGATGCCATGGCTCTCAGAAATGACAGGATGTAGGAAATATCCACAGTATAATGCTAATGGTACTTTCTACTTGTCATTTTAATTTGTTTTTGAGAGACAGAAATCATTTGTGATGGTTTGAATGCTTCACTCATATTAAGCGTTTAGAAGCCTTGACATTCATTGGCCGATTAGAAAGTTACTCTGACACAACCTCTTGTGGAAGTGTCCCCAGATCTTGACGTAGAGGTATTACATTCGAGTAAAAGATCTGATTTCAATGAGGTTTTGTTGGTCCTGATACCCAAATTTCAAAGTAAGCTACAAAGGTGGTAACGAAATGAAGTATTTTAGAAAAGTGATGTCTGATCCACTCAACAAACCCACACATCCTTCATTATGATTGGGTGGATTAAAGTTCACATGAGATCTTAATACAGAGCTCTTGTTTCAAAGTAGGATATTAAGATATACAAGTAAACGAGATCTGGTGGTGTTTGTACAATCATCCCAATCTACGTCACTTTCTAACATAAACTATGATGCATACAAATTATGAAAAAATAACCTTCATCTTTCGTAGTTTGGACTTGTTGTCGTAGCACCAAGCTAGACAGGGCCCAGTCTCGTGTCTCATCAGCGATTCCTCAACTTCCTTTGAGGTCAGGAACAGTTCTATGTTTGTCAAGTCCTGCAAAGATACATGTGACTTTCATGAAAGCTCAAGCACATTTACAGAAATAGAGCACCAGTATGACTGTGGTAATATTTTTCTCCAACATATGGGAAATCCAATTTATGCTTAGGTCAGAGAACTTGGAATTTTAGTGTTTACAATGTCACAATGCGGAAGTGAAGGTACAAAATCTAAAGAAATCAGGGTTAAAAAGATATTTCTTTTGGTAAAATTTGGTTTTGTCCAGTTATCTCAGCCAAAAATTGCTGATACATAAGAGAAAAGTTCAGGACAAGAGCACTCAAAGATTTTGTTGCAGACTGCTAAATATTATAACCAAAAAAATCAGCTGAACTAGGAGCCAGATTAACATATCTGTGAACATGAACTTTGACAAAGCAACAAATCAAAATGTACCTCTATCTCCGAATGCCGCGCCAACTTCAGAGCTGTGTTATAGTACCCTGCCCGCAGGAAGAACTCCACCAACATGCGATCCAGGCGCTTCTTCTGCCATAGCGGACGCGCCTCCTCGGGGAGATTCTCGGCCTCTTTCAGGTGCTCCACACGGCGCTTGATGACCCTCGCAGCTTCCAACTCATCCTGGATACTTTCATCAGCCTAAGATCATACATCATTTGCAGTGAGTGAGTGAGTGAGTGAGTGAGTGAGTGAGTGAGTGAGCGAGTGAGCGAGTGAGCTTTTTCAATGGATGAGTGAGTGACTTGAATTTAATACTACTTTGAACAATATTTCAGTTATATCTTGTCATGAAACGCCCGAGCACAGATGCAGTGCTGAAAAACAAAGAATTCTAATCAGGATGAACCAGGGATTCTAATCCATGACTAGGTTGTGAGCAGACGCATATTGTTTTCTTGGAACCAAACACTCAAAGACACTTGAGGAAGCCACAGCATTGATCATGAGACATTTGCAACGTGCTGAACATTTATGTGTCATAGGCATGTTGCAGGCACACATTAGAATATTGTTGCCCTAACACTTCATGTTTAACAATCTGTCATCAGAAGATTGGGGGCCTGATACCAACAAACAAATAATGTTGATGATCATCAGCATCGCTCAGGACACCCAAGGACAAATAAGAAATCGAGTTTCGAGACATCCTGAGGAGCATTTCATGGATGCTAACATCTTACAGCATGACAGTTTTGGAGGTGGGTCCATAATGGCATGGAGTGGTATCACAGACTGGCCAAACTGCGCTAAATATTGTCCATGGCAACTGTCAGGACATCATTGCACCACTCTTGGTGCCATTTGCACAAACTGTTAGGCAATGTTTCATCTTTCAGGATGTTAAGCATGTTCTCATCATGCCAGGATTGTGACTGAATTATTCCAAGAGCAAAACATCCATGTTGTGCCAGGGCCAGCACTCATTCCTGACCTTTCTTCCATAAAACACTTACTGGATGTCATTGTACGTCAACGTCAAAAGCTACCCATCACTCTCAATGAACTCGGTATTGCTCTCACTGATGAGTGGAACACATGAGTTAAGCTGACATTGGTCGACTCGACAGAAGGATGCCTCAAAGAATGCGTGCATGTCTGGCCAGCAGAGGTGGTTTTAACCACAGGGATGTATCTAGATCGCCTCAAACACTGATATTCAGCACCAAGTCGGCAGCAAATCTCAGTAAAACTTCCCAAATTGGAATGAAGAAATTCACAATTCATGTTAATATAGTTATAACTAATGTATGGCATTGTTGAGGTAACTTGTATATCACTGACAACAGGGCCAATAAAGTGGAAGAGGAATTAATGCTTAGCTTTACATTACCACACTGAATGCAATGTTAAAATAGCTCAGAATTAAGGACAATAAAAACTTTCAAAAATCCCAATTTTGAACAGAATAATGATTTTTCCCAATTTGCCTTCCATGGGCACTTAGTTTAGAATCCTGGATCAATCCCTGATCCGATACAAGTGACGTTGGCTGCAACATGCAATTTGGAATTTGACCCCGCCCTCCATAATGATCTTGTGTGCCACCATCTCATCACACATTAGAACTCATTAGATCTGATCGCCTACCCCCTAGCAAATATGAATAATCATATCATTTCCATTTGCCAATACCATATCCCACTATCCTCTACTTTATTAGCATAGTATATTATGTCATTAGGTATTGACAGTCATGATAAGAACCTATTGACTATCATGCCTTATTTGGGACAATGATGAATGAAAGCTGTTTTATGTTGCAGTGTGCATTATCAAGGTTCATACAGATGTGGAATACTTAATTCAAGGCCTTTTCAATGGTTTCACCTGTCATTTTCAAGGCTTTTTTTAGTTGGCTTATTTGCCTTAGTCTGTCAATATTTGTCTTAAATCCAGAATACTATATACAGTATCAGTCCCAAGACTTAAGAAGCAGTATGAACATCACAAATTTTCCAAAAAAGATTTATTTTCACAACCAAAAAATAAAATAAATTAACTCATAAATTTTAATACCAGTACTTTCATAAACAAGCAGAGCTCCAGATAAGCTTTTGGTGTTGTGGGTATTTTACCCATGCATTTTAAAATCATTGGGTAACAGTAATTCTATCTGCGTATTCAAATTTCTGTTACCCACTAGTTTTTACAGATGTGGGTATTTAAGTTAAATATTTAAAAACACTATTCATCTAGTCCCTGCAAACTGGTGTCGTGTGGGTTCGAGAGCTTTATAGGACTCAAAAATACCACGATACTTCCACAAGAAAGTGTGATGGCAAATGATCATGATGTGACTGTCATCGTGGAGTTTGGCAAGGTTGACGGAATGCCCGTTTATAATAATACACAGGGTTACTTCACAATATTTTGATGATACGCACAAATTATATTTTTGTAGCATATCTGTAATGTTCATTGCGTATTTGATACCCTTGGATTATATTTTACTGCGTATTTCTGCATTTCTGATGCGTATTTCACGCAGATACGCAGCTTATCTGAAGCTCTGACAAGTATGTGTCATTTTATAGAATTCAAGGCTTTTCAAGTTAATTTGGTGATTTTTAAGGATTTTCAGGCTTGACACTAATCATCAAGGCTTTTTAAAAAGGGCTTAAAACTCAAGGCCTTATCAAGCCTGTTCGAACCTTGAATAATCAAGGTGTATCATTGTAGCATGTAAGTAACAAAGTAAGGCCAGGTCAACCAGTTATTGAATGCATGAGCAATAATCCACACTGTAGGGGCATCATAATGACACACAATCAGCTGAGTCCCACATTGCAACTGCCTGATCCTCAATATTCAACTCGAACAACAAGCATGGTGATGTGGATCAGTACTTTCCTGGAATCAACACAGATGAAGTGAAAATGGGTAGTTATATGGACCACTGTTTGTTTATTTGTTTGTTCTTATACTGACTCAGAAATATTCCAGACATATGACATTGGCCTGCAAATAATCAAGTGTGGACCAGTATGATGACACGCAATCAACCATGTCACCGAGTTTGACCACCCGATTCATTTAGTCACCTCTTACAACCAGCATTGGTTGCTGGGGACCAATTCTAACCAGGAATCCCCACAGGGGACCACTGACTAATAATAGAGGAATGACGACGATGGGCACAGTGACTGAGTATGGTTTTACGATGATTTTTGCAATATTCTGGAAATATCACGGCGGGGGACACCAGAAATGGGAAAATATGAGAAATATCAAACCCGAGCCAAGCAAACGCTTTAATCACTAGATTCCCCGGATGTGGTTTTCTAATCTACATAATCTGCTACTGTTATATACGAGGACATATCTATGATTCTAAACTAAGTGCCCTTGCAGACAAAAGGGAAAAAAATATAATTATTCTGTTTAAAATCAGGATTTTCTACTGTTATTTTCTTAAATTTAGATGTTTTTTAACTTTATACTCTCAAATTGCACCTTCCTCAATTTTGTCCATTTTCCAAATGTCACATCACACAACTTGCTCACTTGACTCAGTTTTTGTGTACATACATTTATGACATTGTGTAATGTCCACAACAAACCATTTCACTCTTTCGTAATTTCTTCAATGTAAGGCTTAGAACTTATCAATCAACCCTCAAACTTTGGAACCAAAATAAAACCTTTTTTTTTCACCGAAGATTTATGGTAACAGATTGACCACAAGATTCATTCAGATCAAATAAATATAAATAACCTGTCAGTATTTTTACCAGGCTTTCCATCACCAGAACAAATTATTGCTTTGTACAAAAATATTCCCTAACTGACAAAAAACTTACCTTCCTCTTGAGAAATGTTAGTTTTTCCACCATGTTGTCAAGGACTCTTGAGACATCACCCACTGAGACACTACTTTCCTGCAGACATTTCTCAAGTTCGTTGCCCGCACCTTGTATGTGAGAGACCTCACGGTCAATATTTTTTTGTGCTGTGCGAAACTTTTTGTTCAGTACTTCATATGGAACCTGTATAACATGAATACATGAAAAGGTCATAAAATCATTTAATCTTAATAGAAAAGTAAACAAAATATCACTGCCATGGTAAACCTATCTTAAACTGGTCAACAAAAACAACACCATATGCAGGAAACTGTGCAGTATGGCACAAGTGGGGAGTTTACCTTAATGACCTACAATACTTACTTCCGTGCTGTTAATATTGCCACCTTAGATTTCATTTGCATATACAGCCATAATTTGCTCTTAGTTTGCATAAAAATAAAGGTATCTGCAATGCACATTTTTTTAGCCCCTTAACAATTTGTGACCACGCGCTTTATAACGTAATCAAGGTAGAAACTTCAAAGGCCACTGAAGACATCAAAGTGTTCGCCACTTGCCACTGAATTATGTTGCAAATTATGCTACACAAGGAAAGATATTAAAAAAATAATGAAAAGATACATCAAACCTTTTTTACATACGTACATTTTAATCAAACTTGATCGGATGATAATTTTGCATTGGAACAATTGTATGTACCAGTTATGTATCGGCTTATGTTTGAAAAGTTCCTGTAATGTTATGTGACTGCCCATGTGCATCTATTTTAAACTGGACTCTAATGGAGGGGTTCGAAATCATGTAACAGTAAGAAGATGGTGCCTGATTGACTCATCACAGAACCGAGATATAAGACAGATGAAGACAGATGTAAGAAGTTTATCTTAAATACATTTGTGATAATTTTAGAGATGTAAGTGATTCAGTTAATTTGAAACTGATAATAAGTTTGACAATACCTTTCTCTGAAACAAAAATAAAACATAAGCCACTAACCTGGTTGGCAATTTTTAAGTAAATATACAATGCTGGCCCAATATCAGCATGCAGACTTTCAACTAACATTGTCCCAAATTGATATCAGTCTGTTTGCTAGGATGTGTTGGAGGTTGTTATTCCAGCAGAGTTCCCATGTTGTTTTAGCCAATCTCAACAAATTACTTTGATAAAGGGGAAAGGGGAGGACCACAACACATGACAAAAGGATACTTGATTACTGTTGGGTTCAGCTAATATTTATGAATGTGCTTGTGAACGAATCTGTGTGAGGTTTTCTAGATTATAGTACTCTTCCTAGCTTCCCTGAAATATGTAATGGCTATATTTTGTGAAGTTGTCTTTGACCATTTTGTCTCTGAGTGAGAGATTCCCCCTTGATTATGACTTGATCGAAGGCATATAAACTGGTTTGAAAATAAGTGTCATTGAAAAAATGAAAACGTAAAAAACGTGAAAGAATGTCTATGGTCGATATCAAATGTTTCCAAATGATTTTGGATTTGTGGAACGTTTGAAAGTTGTCAAATGATGACCTTCACCCATCCCCGTTAAACGTTGAATTACATCTGAGGTTGACACTGTCGATGTGTCGTGAGGGTCTGGCTTCGGTTTTAGTTGGGTCACGTCACATCAGTAATGAGTCGAGACAATAATTTTCCTCTTAATATCCAGAAATAACAGTGTAAACGTTAGTATGTTTCAAAACAAAAAGAAGCAATTATTTTGTAATCTGATTTGTGGTGAATTAAAACAAACTATTGCAGATATCGTCTGAAAACAATCGCACCTTCAATGTTGGATGTTCCAAAGACTTCACGTCCGCCATGATTGTTTGACCCGGAAATGCATGAAACAAATGTATTTGGGCTTCTTTTTTTTTAAAGTAAAACGTTTATGATGATATTGTTTCTAATTGATGCATAAATATTTGATTTTGTCCAAAACAATTATCTCTTAAGTTAAATCGTAAATTATCGTGCCAATTCCGGAAAACCCCGAAGAGCCAGATCTCGCGGCACACTGACTGATGATGCGAGATTTAGCGAGAGCACGCGCCATTTAGCGGCAGGACTACTGACCACTGAAAGTTTTTCAACACTCGAGAAGAAAGCCACTCAATTCCAGAAATTGTCGATAATAATTACGATTTTTCGAATAATTGAAGTCCTAACACCCTGAGCACCATCCCGGTTTACCCAGGAGGTGACTGTGGATATCGCACGGAGTGATTGAATCGTGTTCACAGGACGGACTAGGCCTGTGGCGGACATTGCGAGCCTTTGTCTTGATCCGAAAGGTGAGTTTAATCGAGTCGCGCTGACCCAATGGCGAACATTATGTCGCAGTTTGATGTGTAAATCAGATAATACGTGAATTAAATTAGTCAGCAGATCGATCAAGCAGATTGCATTTGTGCTGTAATTTTACTCTTAACTTTTCAGTTGTGAAACAGCCAAGTTGGCACAAAATTAGGTCATTGCTTGTCGGGGAGCATGGACTCGCTAAGTCCGTTTATGATTTGTACGCTTCAGTGCAATTTTTTTCTCTCGGCAATCGACAATTATTGATTCCTCAATGTTTGTTGAAGGAGGCTGTCGTGATTCCTCCATCTGCCGAGATGTAGCGCATAGCTGACAGGCGCGTGTGTTCAAAATATCCCAGTTTTGACTATTTGCAGACTGCACCATGGGACATCCATGTCGGTGCATTTTATGCAAATGACCCCCAGCAGAGGGGTGTCGATTTCGCCGAGGCTTGATGACGGACCGTACTTCCTCCCTTTGTTTTGCTCCTTCCTAGTGTCAAATAGTTTCGTAGACAAGCAAATAAGGCCACATATATGAATATTTACACAATTTTGTTGGAATTGTGAAACACATTTCAGGTGTTTCCTAGCATTGAACATTTCCCCCGTATATATATGTGGGTTGTGTCCCTGAAGTAGTCCAGGTGTTTTTTGTATTGACAACAATGATCGCATTAATCAGCCTCTGTGTAAACATAATAAATTAACACTTTGATAAAGTGTCACGGCTAACTGGGAGACTTGCAAATTAATCAGTGCCCTACAATCTGGTGAATAAAATTACTCTTCCTGACAGGGTACATTTTGGCTTCAGATGGATTAAGTTTAATGCCAATATTGACCCATATATTTATTGATTTTAAACTTTCATAGGATGTTATTCTGTGTCAGAAATAGATTGTGATTATGTTAATTTGGCAAATGAAATCAATATTGGTGAATGATTTCTTTAGCATGACTGAATTTGATATGCTTGACTCGTTCAAAATTTCACCCTTTCTTAAGTTTCTAAGTCATGATTATATCCTAGACTCTGTAATTGTGGGATTAATTGGATGTCTTATGCTGAACATTTCATAGCAATTGAGCAAATGTCATGCATTTACTCGGTTACCTTAATCCTTTACTTGTTTTGCATACCATTGAAAAAACAGTTGCACAAAGAGCATTGATTGATATTGTTAAATGCATTGATTCTTTTCACCATTTTGAAGTTGTTAAATATTTTGCCCATGTGACCTCTAAATTCTAATTGCTTACACATGTCATTTATCATCATGATCGCTTTAGTTGTTTGTCAGGTGACAGATGTATACAGTTTAGGTTATTTTTGTTTAGACAAAGAACCATTGGTGTTTATGCACTTTATTTATTAAGCAAAAACTGTTCTGTGTCATTTTGTTTAAGAAACTGCGATATGGATAATATACCCATTGTGGGTCTTAAATTCATTTCCTGGTTTTGTTTGTTGTGTAGTGCCACACTCAGCATGTTTAGGTAATCAATTCTAGGTATATGTAATCAGAGATGTTTTTGGTATCTATAATGTATCTAGTACCATTGTTGAAAATAATACAACATATATTATGGAAACTTGTCAAACATGTTTTCAGCGTCAGAAATTGACACTAGTCCTTGCCAAACTGCCCAATAGTTAGGTACCGGTATCATAAGGACTAGTAGAAATTTGCCATTCTTTAGGGTTTGCTATATGTTATCATAAGGACTAGTGGACTAAAAATGTTAGTTTCTACCGCTGATGTTTTAGGTCTGTATGGAATGCATTTGGATTTGAAGTTAAAGGACATATGTTGAGCGAAAAGAATATTGTGTCAGAAAATATTTTTTTGAAGGTGTTATCATTTTCATTAGGAGGTATTTATGTATTGTTATCAGTGCAAAAAGGGAAAGCTAAGTATTAAAAAACACTTGTGAACCAGCTGGTTAGTAGTTTAGGCATGTTTCCGAAACCATGGTCTAGTGCATTTTGTGCATAATCTGTGCATTATGAATGTAATGTCTTGTGACAAGTTAGGATACACTCATTTAGATTTTGGGTACAGGCATGAATTGCGAATGGTGAATCCTTACCCAAGTGTCTTTCTTGTAGATAACAACACAAATTGGTCATAGTGCAATTTTGTGAATTTTTATCATTTTTCATCATTTTTCTCTAAAGACTTTGGGATGCATATTGGTCTAAAAACACCTTAGAGATAATCGTTATTGTGATAACTATATTTGTATTGATATCCCCATTTTATTTGTAGGTAAAGAGTGACGAGTGTTTAAATATTTGTTATTTATCGAAGAGCGCAATAGCGAGCGATCACTGTAGTGGCAAGTGTTGAATATTCATTATTACAGTGGTGAGTGTTACATACTCGTTATAATAGTGGCAAATGTTACATACTCGTTATTATAGTGGCAAATGTTACATACTCGTTATTATAGTGGCGAATGTTACATACTCATTATTATAGTGGCGAGTGTTACATACTCGTTATAATAGTGGCAAATGTTACATACTCGTTATTATAGTGGCGAATGTTACATACTCATTATTATAGTGGCGAGTGTTTAAATATTTGTTATTATAGTGGCAAGTGTTACATACTCGTTATAATAGTGGCAAATGTTACATACTCGTTATTATAGTGGTGTGTGTTACAATTACCACAATAAATGTTTTTCTTGGCTAATGTTTTGTCACTTTCCCCGGTTATTGCTTGGGATGACATGACACACTGATATCATGATGTCCAGTGTATCAGCAGCAATAGAAATTGGCACTAGCCCTGTGGTCCTTGCCAAGCTGCCCAGTAGTCATGACACACTGGTAAATTGATGCATGTCAGATTTACACCTGGCGACGCAGTACGCCTCATATCGATTCATGTTTATGTTCTATATTGGTTTCACAAAGTAATATTGACTGTTTTGCAATGACCCAGCATGATGACTACATCTCATTAAAAATCTATATTTCCACAAAATATAAAGTAAAACATGGAGAATGCCGTACAAATATAGGGAAGTTTGAGTATCATGATTCAAGCTTTACGATATGTGTTGATATGTGAGTAACGTGATACCCCTCTTGCGTATCATAATACTTTGTCGTAAGATCTATATGTATTGCATCATGATCAGCTGTTTGGGTAAACTTGTGTGAACATATGGCCTAAACCAATGTGCCTCAGACAAACTGGCAAACCCAAATTTAAGGTGCCAACTGAAGTTCTTTTCCCGGGATGGTCAGTGGCACTCACTCATGAAGATCCGGGTTAGAATAGGTCTTCAGCAACCCATGCTTGTCTTGTGACTATGCTTGTCATAAAAGCCGACTAACGGGATCGGATGATCATGGCTCGCTGGCTTGGTTGATGCATGTCATCGATCCCAATTGCATAGGATCGATGCTCATGATATCAATTACTGGAATTTCTGATCCAGACTTGATTATTTACAGACCACCGTCATATACGTGGAATATTGCTGAGTGCGGCGTTAAACAACAAACCAACCAACCACACTTGACTTAAAGTGCAAGTCTCTGACTGATTCAGCCCACCACTAAAAGGACAAATTTCTACTAGTCCTTATGATACCTTAACTACTGGGCAGTTTGACAAGGACTATAGGACTTGTGCCAAGTTCTAACGCTGCATGGGTATATACAACTTTGCAGATTTGAATGCACTGTAACATCGTTATGCAAATATTTTATTCAAAACATCAAAAGGGGCACATTAATAAGGTTATTTGCACTTTGTCCCGTCTGTCAGTTTCAAAGGCTAAAAGCAAAATACATCAGAGCCTCTATATACAAAGGCTCCATATATGGTCTTGTAGGAGGAAATTACCTCCAATATTACACACTTGATTGCAAAAGCCTGTCCCTCCATTTGCACTCGAGCAGGCATGAGTATTAGTAGGATTAAAGGATGGAAATATACTCCTCTTTCTTTCAACAATGGAAATGTGACAATTGCCATTTACATCATGTTCAAAATAAGCACTGGCCCGTGGCAAGTAGATTTGCGTTTGGCATGTAGTTTCTAATTTGTAGGGGTCCTTAAGACCTGCAGTAAACTTAGGTGTTGATTTATTTGTCCCAGTAAGCTGCGGGTTTTTTAATTGAAGGCCTAAAGAGTTTAAACAAGGCCTGCATGTTCTAAAGTATGTGGGTCCTGATGGCAGTTGACTCTATTTCAAACAGTGTTTACGTCACAAATTGAGTTCACTATGCTGTGAGGAAACATACTATTTCTTCAATTGCGTTTATTGTTCAGTAATGTTCACATTTTGGTACTTTTATTTTGTTGAGACATTTCTGTACATAAATTATTCACTGATATGTGTATGAATAGATAAAGCATCGATTGTACTTATTGGTGATTTCGGAAGAAGTGCAAATGAAGCCCTACCTGTGACAGACAAGGAAATAATCAGGACTGTCCTCATTTTGGACTCATGGGTTACAAGTGATTGCAAAACAGATTGGCTTGAAGTTGCAATATCTTCTTGTAGTCTTGATATGGCACTACAAGGATGAAG